GAAATAAATGAAAGATAGATTAAATTGTCAAAACCCCATAGAAGCGAAATTAGATTATTTTAGCAAATCATCAATTTATTATATGTGAAATTAGTGAGTATGTATTTTAATGAATTTAATATATGAAAAGTAAACTTTGAATTAACTCTTAGTAAATAAATATGACAATTATTTTTTAAAGCGAATCATTATCAATATTTTATTCCTGTCTCCTCATAAATGTCTTAATTATATCTTGTATCACTTTCTTTTAAGTTCATTTCGAATATATTTGTGATCAATTATAGTTAAGCTTAATTGCACTCTTAAGACTTCAATCATAGATTTTAGAATCTTAGTATGGAGTTTAAGATCGAATTGATATAATTGATTTATATAAATCATCCGTTTAATCAATTGATAAAGAATCTCCTGAAAAGGGATCCCATTAATTAACCAAAAATTTGGAAGGACTACAATCTTGTTCTTCTGTAGATCTGCATTAGATAGGTGAATTCAGATAAGAAGATTAGAGATTATTTGAAGTTATTTTTTCCTAACTTTAATCTTTACCAATTGGAGAAATTGATTGATTATTTTAGACAGAAACTTAGCCACAATATTGGTCATCATCTTTTTGACCAAAGGAAACAATATTCGTTATACCTTATTGTAAATCTGATTTTATAGTTTTTTTTTGGGAAACTTTGAAATTGACTTCTGCTTATAGACTTTAATCGAAATCGTTTTGTTCTAGAATTGTTTTTACTATCATTGTTTTATCAATATTAGATTAATATGGATGCTATTTTAAGAGATGCTTCGTGAGTTAGTAATGTCTGTAGTATTAACGTTTGCAGAGTAGACAATTGTATGGCCTGCAGGAAAGTAAGATTAATTGAAAAGTGGCAAAAGAAATATTGAAAGAAAAAGGTTAACCTGGATTTACAGGTTTAGATTATATTATAATACTCTTTAAAACTTACTTTTATTTGAAGTGACGCCTTTGGTGATCATTGCAATTGCCAGTAGAAGTAAATTTCTTTTCGCAAAACTAGCAATTAAAAGGTTTTTCTCCTGAATGAATTCTATAGTGCACTATTAAATTTCCTTTTTCTGCAAAAATCTTTGAGCAACCATTGTAAGGGCATTAATGCTATTTTAGAGAGAAATGATTACTAAAAATATGAGATTTTAAACGGCAAGCTCAAGTGAAAGATTTTGTGCAGTTTTAAAATTGACAATTAAATTTCCTTTATAATTGCATCTACTTCTTGGTCATATTTTACTGATATTAGGAGCTTAAAACCGTGCTACCACTAATACAGGTTTGTTATTACCCAAAGTCTTATTACATATACATAATTAATATAATTATATTAATGTGTTTAAAAGCGATGTCAAAAGATAGAAAATCAAATTTAATTATTTAAGACTATAGATTAACTTTGAAATCAAATAATTACCTAATTTTATCTGGTCCTTGATTTGAAAACATTCGTTTTTAAAAGAGATTTTGATGATGAGGGTGGGAATTGACAATCTTAAAACAAAAATATAAAATTTTTAAATATTGCATTTTTGCTTTTGATAAAACTAGTTGATTCATAAGGACTTAAAAATAGCCCTCATCAAATTAATGATATTTATTAATTTTTAAGAAATAGTTAGTTATCTCTTTTCGCAATTAATAAATTATTAATTTTGCTATTTTAAACTATGACAGATTGAAGTTTTTGATAAATAAATAAAGAGATTTAAATTTAAATATAATTTGCACATGAGAGTTATGGAGGCAAACAATAACTTATTGAAATGCATTATCATATGGTTGTTAATTATGAAAATATATTATAGATAGTTGTGAAAGTATTTACATAATATTGCATTGTTTAAACTAATTCGAAGTATGTGATTTCTTAATTCAAATTATATTTAATACTCATGATTCACTGCCATACATGTTTCTCCAAATCAATAATAATAATTTATAAGACAGGATTTTTCTTTGAAACTATTTTACTGATTCAAGAAATAGATAATATGATGAATATTTTAATGAGCTAATCTGTAGAATGCTTAATTTTTAAGAGACATAGTTTAAGATTGGATAAGATTAATTTTTTGACAATATTAATAAGATTTTGTATACAATACTATTAAGATTTTATCAGATTCAATACTTATTTGATTTCTCATATGTTTTCAGTGCATAATCCCTAAACCTCAAACAATAGTATATAATTTGAACTACAATTAATACTTTCTTGAGTGGTTCTCATCTTGGTATTTTAAATTTTATTTGATAGATAGCAGTTTTATTCAATATTGATATGATGTCTTTGTTTTTAACTCTGAATTTCGTGTTGATATAATTCAAAGCTCGGTTATTTTATTTATAAATTCAGTGAATATTAGATGAAAAAGCAGTAATCTGTTTTTCAGTACTAATTGCTTTTGCTAGAGTAAATTTTATTGTCTTATTGAGAATTAATAATGAGATTAATGAATGATGTCGGATAAAAAATGTGCTTTTCAAGAGAAAGAGAATTGAACTTGAGACGATCTATGTATTTCAATCGTCTCCTGGGGTAATTGGAACTGGACAGAACTATATTCAACATATAAAAGGAAATAATTGATTTATAGATAAAAATAGAGAGTAAGTATTTTTGAAATAAAGATGA